GGAGAAGTGGTGCCTCGGGGCGCTCCCGGGATCCGAACCCGGGCCGCCAGCATCAGAGCGCGCGCACTTAACCGCTAAGCCACGGGGCCGGCCCTGGCTTCATTCTTTAATAGCAGAAACTCCCCAGGTCCTAACCCATGATTTTAAGCAGTTCTAGGCTTACATTCTCCACAGTCTTATAACCAAGGAAGACAGAATTATTCCCTATCGGCATCATTTTAGGAAAGTAGAAAGGGCTCTTATTGGCCCAGTTTAGGTCACGTGCCATCCTAGACTGTGGCCCTGCCTTAGGGTACAATGACTAGTTCACCTGACTTGCCATCATGAACAACACAAAACACATGGAGAAAGAATAATTTCCCAAAGAAAAGGGTGTGTTATTATCAGAAGGGAAGATGTCCACCACAATAGGGGAACGAGACATCAATAAAATGCAGTTCTTGGTCTCAAGACATTCACAATTCAGCAATAAATGCAATAAAAACTAACTATAATACTGTGATATGAGTGCCACACCAAAGGTATGTACGAAGGCCTAATGGACAAAGGTATAACAAATTTTAGTTGTACCAAAAATGGTAGTTAGCTGAGAAGGATTCTCAAAGAGTCATATTTGAGCTGGATCTTGAATAGTGAAAGAGAGTTTAGCAAGTGAAGGGAACCAAGAGTGTTCTTAGTGAAGCTGTTGAAATAGAGTTTTAAAAAACGTAGGAAACAGAACTGTGCATTTGGAGATCAGTGAGGGTTCTAGCGTTGTTTCAACAAATGGGCCATGAGGATGGGAGGTGGATTGAGGGAGAGGGATCAAAAAATAGGTTGAAATCACATTGTAGAGGTCCTTAAATGTCATAGTAATGATTTCAGATTCTATTAGACCAGCTAGATATTCTAGCTTTGGGTCAACTAGTCATATGTCTAACATGTGTTAAGCAAAGTATCCTAAGGTGAATACATTGGAAGGCCCACAAGGCTGAGGGGTTGACAGTGGAACTTCCTCTCATTTATTCACATTCAGAGTACAGCCACATATTGCAGTTTACGTGTATCCATATCAGTAGACAACTTTGTCTAGGTTTAGCTATGCTAATTCTCACAAAAGTCTACGTGGCTTTGTATTGCTCTTCTATTACGATTTTCTGTTGCTGACTAACAACGCAGCACAGACTAAGTGGCTTAAAACAGCAGCCATTTATTATCTCACAGTTCTCTCGGGTCAGGAGTCCATGCATGGGTTACCAGGATCCTTTGTCAGGTCTCGCATGGCTGCAATCAAAGCGATGACGGGGGCTTCCATCCTGTGTGAGCCTTGCTGTGCTCTTCCAAACCCATCAGTTTGTTGGCAGAATTCAGTTCCTTTCAGCTGTAGAACTCATGGTGGCTTCCATCTTCTTCAAGACCAATAAGAGAAAAATCTCTCTCTCATGCTTCGAATCTCTTCCTTCTTAGGGGCTCCTGCCTGATTAAGTCAGGGTTATCAGATAGTCTTCCTTTTGAGTAACTCAAAATGAACTGATTTAGGACCTTAATTCCATCTTAAAAAATCCATTTTGCCACATGACATAATCACAGGAATGAAATCTGCCATATCACAATTCCACCCACACTCAAGGGGAAGGATTTATGAAAGGCGTGTACACCAGGGAGTGGGAATTTTGGGAGCCACTTCAGAATTCTGCCTACCCAGGCTTATTAAACATTCCTGCAAAAAAATTGGTAGGCTGAATAATCTCCCCAAAGATATCCACATCCTGATTCCTGAAATCTGTGAATGCTCTTATACAGAAAAAAGAACTTTGCAGCTGTGACTAAATTAAGGATCTTGAGATGGGTAGATTATTGTGGGTCCTAAATGAAATCACATATAAAAGGGAGGCAGAGGGGAATTTGATAGAGACAGAAGAGAAGGCAGAGTAATCATGAAGGCAGAGATTGGAGTGATGTGGTCACAAGCCAAGTAACGCGGGCAGCCAGCAGAAGCTAGAAGAGGCAAAGAAACGATTGTCCTCTAAAGCTGCTTCCAGAGGGAGTGCAGCCTGCCAACACCTTGATTTCAGCCCTGAGAAACTAATTTCAGACTTCTGGCCTCCAGATTTGTGAGAGAATAAATTTCTGTTCCTTTAAGCCACCAATTTTGTAGTAATTTGTTACAGCAGCCATAGAAAACTAACACAGAAACCATGAGTTGAAAAGACTAATAATGTTAGAAGAGGCAAAGTCCATGAAAACAGCAAGGCTGTCACTTTTACCACCAGAACTAGCTCTTTTTCCACAACTTTACGATTAAAAACAATGCTTACAAGTAGGTCTGGTAGAGTCAAACAAACAAAACTACTCGATACCTCAATTGTTAAAATGGACTTGATCTTAACTGCATATTGTGGCTTGAATATTAAAATAGAGCCACTCTGATTAGCAGAACTTTTTAAACTAGTGTTTATTTACTCTTGATCACTACTTTTATTAAGATTTATTTTTAGGTGTTTATAAAGTAAGCAGTATAACAACTTAGTGGTCCATGAATATAATAAATAACTAATTAAATATACATATTTCTGGGGTGTGTACTTTAGTTGTTTTTGTTTTTTACTGTTAGGAGTTTACTGCCCATAACCATAAAAAATGGGAAGCCGTTGGAGGCTCTGGGTCATGGGCTTGTCATGATAAAATTTATATTTTAGAAAAATAACTTTGCTAGTAGTGTGGAAAGTGGGGGTTAAAAAGAAGAGACAGAAAGAAGAGAGACCAGTTAAGAGGTTATTGGAGTAGATTATTGACACTTGGTCACTCAGACAGAATTGTGGATGAAGGTAGACAGTCCTATAGTTAATCTAGTTAATACTATAACAATAAGCAACATACAGAATCCCCAAGTGTGTGGCAGTCTCTGTGACTTTGTATTAATCCTCATAATAATTCTTTGTGGTCAATACAACGTTGATTCCATTTCACAAAATCATTTATTCAACAAATATTATTGAGCACTTAATATGGGCTTAGTAAAGATTGAGGAGGAAGTTAAGATTAACTTGGGGTCAAGGGCCTTTGTGACCAAGGGGTCACACGACTTCTACATACTGAGCTGGTACCACATTCAGGCCTGTCTGACACCTATTTCTAAAGGGCAGAACAAAGGGCAGAAGAAAGAGGAGAGCAAAACAGGAAATAACTTAGCACTATCCTAATTGCTTAAAACCAGTGATCTACCCATTGCCTGGAGGCAGTTGGTGTGAGAAAAGTGACAGAGCCCTGATAAACTGTAAGAGATGCTCACTGGGGGCCCCAAATGATTCTGAAAGCAACAGCAGCATTTCAAGATCCTTTTGATGCCCTGGAATTGTAGTCTTGGCTTATACTAAAGAGCCACTAAAAAAAGAAAGCCATCACATTCAAATACAGCAGTTTTCTGTGCAACATTTCTCAACCATATCTAATTTGATTTCTAATTATATGATTAGAAGTTAACCTGATTAGCTTTGTCCAGGATAAGTAATTCAAACAGCACTTTGCTACAGAAAGTAGAATTTACTGTTGGACTAAAGATTCCAAAATAGTGCATAAATATTCCTAAAGCTGGAAATGACCTTGAATGTTCATCTTGTTCATCCTTCTGCTGTCATCCTTCTGTAGATCTGTAGGGGAGATCTACAACCTGTATCCTACTTTGAATCCTGTATCCCATTTCTGAAATATTCCCGTATAACTAAATACAACATACTTATTGAGAATTTGTGTGCTAGGCACAATGTCTAGAAAAGAAAACTAAATTCCCTTGGTAATCCTTCCTTATTCTTTACAAATTTTTAATTATGTTTGACATTAGAAAGAAGTAATCCTGAACTCCCTTCTCTTTTATTAAGTTTTATTATTTTCCTTTTTTTTTAAAACAAACTTACTCCCTCAGGAGTTTCCCTCCAGTTTCAGTTTCAGACAAATAATGTTGAGTAAAGCATGATCCAAATTCTAATCACTATCAAATTAAGACCATTAATTACCTGTGTGCCCTCAACCTAAGCAAAATGTAGAATGTATGTAATTACTGGGATAATTCAAGCCAGGAAAAACATTTTGCTGCACTTGCTAGACCTCTCCCTGACATTCTGATTTATATCTGGGAGATGTTTAACCTGAGTGCTCTTGAACTTTTCCATAATCAAAAAAGACCTTAGTTCCCAATGTTTCTGTAACACCAAAGCCAGGTTACTTCACCCTGGGATCAGATATCACCTTTCACTTTAGATGGCTAAAAGGTAAAATAACCGTAGGTCTTTTGTGATTTTTTTTTTTGACTACTTATATATTTGCATCAGTTGTGTCTATAGTGTGCTTATTGATTTTTATTTCATTTCCATTTATTTTACACGTATTTCTCTCTAGCAACAGACAGTCTTTAGCACAGGATCTGCTGATGCATTGCATGTTTTTGACTTAAAAAACATAACTTAAGAGGTAATAATAACAACAACAATAATAAAAGAGTCCACTAATTAATTCAACCTTTATAAATGCCAGTCACTGTATAATTTTGTTTTAAATTCATTGGTTCATTTAAACCCTATTATAGTCCTATAGAATGAGTTCTATTTTGAACACGAGGAAATGGACTCAGAGAGGCTAGTGTGTTAGGCTGGGTCCTCAAGCAGCTGCTGCCAAAATGGGATTAAATGTGCAAACATTTTATTAGAGGCAACATTTGTGTGAAAGAAAATATGGAGGGAACTGGAGGAGGCGGGGAGAGAAACCAGAACACAATGCACATCTGACTGAGAACGAAGGAGGGAGGGAGAAGAGGTTGGGTGCAAGTCTCCTAGACTGCCTGCAGTCTAAGGAAGTTCTAGCAAAATTGTTGGGGGCCCTTGAGCCAAAGTCTTTGACGAAAGAGAATGGGTCAACCTAGTAGCTCTGCTGCTCTCATTCATTGGCCAGAGCAGCCCGTGGAAGGCGTGGCCTCAACCCAAATGCAATCAAGGATTTCAAAGCCAGCAGCCAGAGCCATCAGTCGGTTATGCTCCCAGTAGTTCTGGGAGGTGTGTTTTCGTGGCTGCCACATCTAGTTAAGTGGTGAAGCTGAAATTGAACCCTGTGTATCCCTGGGTCCAGGCGCCATTCCCTTTACCAGTGAGCTTATTATATTTTTCATGACCTTTGGATGTTCTCTCAGTTTTGATAATACTTTTCCCAACATTTTAAAATCAGAATTAGCAATTCTTATTTGCTTTTAAAAATATGCTTTGCCATTTTTCTAACACTGAGTAAATCATTTTCATTATCTTTAAGATGGTATAATCCATACATCTATAATATAGTTGATACGTCATCATAGATTATGGTTCTTAAACCCCAAGCACTGCTCTCATGTAGAAAAACTTTATTATTTTACCCCAGACTTTGGGTCAATTTAGTGGCTTATACAGGGAATATAATGAATCACGTCTGAAAAACATATTCTTTTCTAGACCAAATCTGCAGATACTTCTACTAGACTCTTAGA